TTTTCTGCCATTTCCATAGTATGTCTCTTCTCTATTCTTTACTGATAATGTTTATTTGAGCATTTTAACATTTTCTTTCTTATTGGTCTTACTAGAGATTTGTCTATTTTATTATATTTTTCAAAAGACTGGCTTTTGATTTTTTAAATTCTTTCTGTTTTTTTTCCTATCTATTAATATTTGCTCTCATTTTAATTTTTTTATTCCTTTTACTTGCTATAGGTTCATTTTGTTTTTCTAGGTGCTTAGATTTAATTAATTTATTTTCAATTTTTCTTCTTTAAAAATTCATTTTCATCCAAGTATGACTTCAGCTGCTTCCTGTAAGGTTTTATGTGTAGTAATTTTAATTCCTTGCTCTAAATAATTTCCGTTGTGATTCTTCTTTATCTTATGAGTAATTTAAGATTTAGATTTTAAATTTCAAATGTATGAGGTATTTTTATTTGTTTATTGTTGTAGTATAAGTGAAAGTTTACATTTCAAGTTGGTCTTATACAAAAATTTATACATACATTGTTATGTGACCCTAATCGCTCTCCCTATACTGTGCATATGAAGTATTTTTAATCACATTTTAATTTGCTTTATAATTTAATCAATTTATGGTTAGATTATGTGGCCTTATGATGTGGAATCTTTGAGATTTGCTGAGATACATTAGTGACTTAAATATGGCCAATTTTGTAAATGTTCAAGCTTATTAGTTTTGTTGTTCTGATTTTTGAGTCCTTGCTATTTTTTTCTCTATTTGATCTATTAGTATCTCATAGACATACGTTGAGATCTCCTGCTATGATTGTAAATTTGGTGATTTCTCTTTATGATTTTGTCCATTTGTGTGTGTGTGTGTGTGTGTGTGTGTGAACGAGAATATGTATATTCAAGGTCATGTTGTGAGGTGCATTCAAGTTCATGATCATTTTATCTCATTGTTTTACTACTTTTATTATTATTTGTATCTCTCTCTACTCCAATAGTGATTTCTTCCTTAAAATCTATTTTGTCAGGTGTAAATATTGTTGCACCAGTATTCCTTTCTGTGTGGTTTGTTTTAGGTGTGACTCTTTTAAAAAATATATAGCTGAATGTATATATACACACACAAATGTATTTATATAAATCAGTTCAAAGGTCTAGGTACTTCTTAAATAGATGAATACAGTTGGTATGATTTATTGTGATTAAGGGTATATTCAGCTCTATTTCTATCATATATATTTGTGTTTTCAATTTATTATTCCTTTCCATTGTTTCTTTTTTTTCTTTCCCTTCCTTCTTTTGAATCAATAATATTTTCTATATGTTCTTCCCCCCCCCCCATCTCCTAGGACATGATAAGTACTGAATACTAACTTATTTCTTATATTTCTACTTGTTTACCCATAAATCATAGGTAGAAATGTCATAGACTTTTGATTCAGATACAAAAGATGAGCTCCTCAGCTTTGCTTACTAGTTCAAATACATGGGCAAATAATTTCAAATCTAAAAGCTTTAATATTCTCATTTTTAAAAACTGGAATAATAATAATATCTGTTTGAATGTTAGAGTCTGTAGCTACAAATTTGCCTAAAAGGAACTTGCCCCTTATGTCATGGAAGTTTCAGTCAACTAGAGAAGAAAAGTATTGAATAAGTGACTAAAAGAGCTCTGAGTGTTATGATGGAGAAATGCAGGGTGCTACAGGAGCTGATAAAGGCAGATCTAACTTGTGTAGGAAGTCTCTTAAGGCTGGGATTCTGGAGGAAATCATATTTCAATAGAAACCTGGGGGATGTGTTAGTGAGGCAACGAAGTTGGCAGATAGAAGCAACAACAGGTGTGAATCTTCTGGGACAGGAACAGGACTTCGAACTGGTTTGTTCTGGTTCTAACCCTTGCTGAGAATTTGCATTTCCATCCCAGATATACCGAATCAGAATCTACATTTTAACAAGATCCCCAGGTGATTCTTATGTATAATAAGTTTTGAGAACCACTGCTCTGCTAGTGGTTCTCAGAATTGGTCCCAAACCAGCAGCATTAGCATCTCCTGAGATATGCAAATTCTCAGCAGGAGTTCGCATCAGAAGGAACTGGTTCAAAGCACTGGACAGGTAGGAGTATGACATGTTTGGAAAAGTGAAAGAAGTCCTGTGTGTCTGGAGTGGAGATCATGAAGAAGAGAGGCGTGAGATGACGCACCCAGGACCTGTTCTTTTGTTTGTTTGTTTGTTAGTTGTATGTTTAGTTTACTTTCTTGTGTTTTTAATCCTAAGTATAATGGGAAGCCATCAAAGATTTTTAACCAGGTGAATGTCATGCTCACATCTGTGAATCCAATCATGGTGGATGAAGTGAAAAGGAGCCCTTGGAGAGGAAGCTGGAGACAAGTTGGGAGGGAATTGCAGGGGCCCAGGGGAGAGGTGACAGTGGCTGAGACAAGAGCCACCACAGTGCGTAGAATAGAGAGAATAGAAAGAGTGGAGAGATATTTAGGGGGCAGAGTCAACTGAACTTAGCACTGATCATAATGGGAGTTGAGGACAATAGTGTGAGTGAAATCCCAGAATTTCCACTAAGTGTTCTGAGTACCGCTGTCCTAGTGAGCTTGCTCAGTACTGCATCCTCTACAATAAAAAACTTGGACTTTTAGCTTCATGCATGTAAGAAGCAAAATAAGGAAGAAATAATTAGTGGCAAGATAGCAGATCTCTGGAGCCAAATAGAGCTTTTTATGGCCTAAACTTTTTTGTGTCTATTTCAAAGAAAGGTTATCCAACAGAATGTGGAAATTATTGAACAATATCATTAATATCACACACAAGTAAAACTTTGCTGAAGATCATTCCAAGGTGGTTGCAACAGTACGGCAAGAGGGAACTGCCAGAAATTCAAGCAGTATTCAGAAGAGGATGGGGAATGAGGGATATCATTGTTGATGTCAAATGGATCATGGCTGAAAGCAGAGAATACCAGAAAGATATTTACCTGTGTTTCATTGACTATGCAAAGGCATTTGACTGTGTGAATCATAACAAATTATAGATAACATTGTGAAGAATGGGAATTCCAGAACACTTAATTGTGCTCATGAGGAACCTATACTTAGACCATGAGGCAGTAATTTGAACAGAACAAGGGGATACTACATGGTTTAAGGTCAGAAAAAGTGTGCATCAGGGTTGTATCCTTTCACCATACTTATTCAATCTGTATGCTGAGAAAATAATCCAAGAAGCTGGACTATATGAAGAAGAACACAGGATCAGGATTGGAGGAAGACTCATTAACAAACTTTGATATGCATATGATGCAACCTTGCTTGCTGAAAGTGAAGAGGACTTGAAGCACTTACTGATGAAGATCAAAGACTACAGCTTTCAGTATGGATTACACCTCAACATAAAGAAACAAAAATCCTCACAAGTGGACCAATAAGCAATATCATGATAAACGGAGAAAATATTGAAGCTGTCAAGGATTTCATTCTACTTGGATACACAATCAATGCCCATGGAAGCAGCAGTCAAGAAACCAAATAGTGCATTGCACTGGGCAAATCTGCTGCAAAAGACCCCTTTAAAGTGTTAAAAAGCAAAGAAGTCACTTTAAGGACTAAGGTGTGCCTGACCCAAGCCATGGTGTTTTCCATCGCCTCATATGCATGTGAAAGCTGGACAATGAATAAGGAAGACTGAAGAAGAATTGATGCCTTTGAATTATGGTGTTGTCAAAGAATGTTGAATAAACTATGGACTGCCAAAAGAATGAACAAGTCTGTCTTGGAAGAAGTACAGCCAGAATGCTCAATACACGCCAGGATGAGGAGACTTCATCTCACACACTTTGGACATGCTATCAGAAGGGACCAGTCCCTGGAGAAGGACATCATGCTTGGTAGAGTGGAGGGTCAGTAAAAAAGAGGAAGACCCTCAAGGGGATGGATTGACACAGTGGCTGCAACAACGGGCTTAAGCATGGCAATGGTTGTGAGGATGGTGCAGAACCGGGCAGTGTTTTGTTGTGTTGTGCGTAGCGTTGCTATGAGTTGGAAGCCACTTGACGACCTAACAATGACAACAATCTTTTTTAGAAATTATAATTAAGTCTGACTGCCCATGACTAAAGTTTTGGCTGCTTCTTCCCCCACTCCCCTGCACCAAAAATTCAATGGATTAAGCTCCTAAAAACGATAACTAAAAATAGTCCCACACATATGCTTTCCTATTAGATGACAAAGGTCATACTTTTAACATACTTTATTTATTCAGTTGGTCTGTTAATATTCATGGCTTAAAGGAAGCTGTCGTTAATGAATGCTCATTCAGTGTCAAGGACACCATGTTTATTAAACAGTAATAGACACCTGTCCTCTATTCGATCCAAAGACTCTAAGAGGGGAAAGTGAGCGGGCTTTGGTACAGTAACTTCAAGTCACTGTGCTTCTTTTACAGAATGTAGAAGGCCTTTTTTTTTTTCCTTCTCCATCTACCCTTTCCTGGCTTGGAGAAGAGATGGAGTGTAGGATGTGAACAGATGGTAGTTTTGTAGGCAGGGTGGATCATGCAGGTTCATAGATTTCTCCCTTCGTCAAGTTCTGTCCAGCAGTAATCATGCAGTCAGTGTTGACCTATGCAGCTCAGGTTCCCAGGACAACAGTGAGGAATGGAGCCTGCTCCTGTATAGAAATGGCATTATCCTGGCAGGTATGGGGTTTTTCTGTGACTTCAAAATTTTACATTTTGAAGAATGTCAATGCTAATACCATTTCTGCCTTCTCTAGAATAAGAGATTCTGGAGACCGGATTGGATTTTTTTTAATGCTAGAGTGAATATATAACTATTTTCACAAGGAAACTCCTGACGGTGCTCATAGATACTCCTGCAACTGTCTCCTAGTGAGGACCTTGGCTGGATCAGTCAATGTTCCCTTGGCAATTGGGCCTTCTCTTTGGGATGTGTTTCCAGCTGGCACTCCGGCCTCCATCCAAGAGAACAACCTTTGTTGTTGTTCAGTTATGTCTCCAGACAGGATCCAAAGAGGAGTTCTGTGATCTATTCTCTGGATTTTATGGAGTCTTGCTTTGTCTTTTTGTATTAGCCTCTTAAAGCACTACATCATTCTTAAAAGGACACAAGCGAGGGTGTTAGCTTAAGCTTTTGAAGTATTGTACGTGCCATTTCCATTTTTTATTTGTTTCTAAATTTGTGTTTCTATTTAACTAATCTCTTTGTTAAAGACAAATTGTGGATAAGTTTAATACAGTAATAGATGTCGTGTTATACAGCTTCCAAGTCCAAGGCTTGCAGTAGCCCTTTAGAGTGGAAGCAGTTTGGGACTTGTTCATCTCCCATTGCAGGCAAAATGCTCTACCTAAAATTGTGCTTTATTCATAATACATGAAAGTTCCAATTAAAGCACTGAAATCTTTCGTTAAATTTTACTCCTCAAACAGAATTAGATTCAAGAAACTGAAGAGGACACCAGGAAGCACCATGAGCAGACCTAAATTCTAGACACAAATTATTTGAGATGGACTTGCTAAGCAAACCTCCTCATGTGAAGTTTTAAAAACCTTGGTGGTGGCCTGTTCCAATATTCAGTCACATTTACAGTTAAGGAGTTTGTTTTGACTAAATTCTTATGTTTCATCTCAGTCAATTTCTTCTTGTTCAGGACAGATCTAGATGGAGTTTTGACCCATATACCCTGTTTGATAACTCTTGGAGCACTTTTTTTTTTTTCTTCTTGGCGCACTTTTAAGGCACTGCAGCCCTGTGCCTAGCAGGGTACCTGGCATATACTAGTTGTTCAGTAAATTCAATTGCACTAGGTCACCTGTCATCATTCTCTCTTTAAGGCAAAGAGGTGATGTAAACTGTCCTTATTAGTACTGACCTGAATATGGCACTCGAAGGCATCCAAATGCAGGGCTTATACGCTGCGTGGAACTCTAGGGGTGCTTTTCCATAGTGCCTGCTTAAGCTCACAAAAGCCCTCTGTGGGTCCCTCCTCGGGCACCTTACATAATCTTCTAAGCCATTAAATCAATCTATTCTAATTGGATAATGACTCTCATGTTTGAAATCTGCTGAAAATCCATCCTCACCTCCATCTGGATCTCCGGCAGCAGATTTCCAACGTCCGGATAGCAGCAGGGCTTTTTGTCCTCCCCGTAGCCCTGCAGCCACCAGGGGCCAAAGACGAATTTGCTGTAATGAATTTAATATGTTTAGTCTGAGCCATATAGTTCCAGGCCAGTCAAAGAAGGCCCCTTATAGGGTTATTTCCCGTCAAGTGAATTAAAGAGGCATGTCAGCAACTGTAGGCCCGAGAATGGAGTGTGCAAACCCATCCGGTGCTAACCTCATTTCGACTCCAGCCAGCTTCCTAGCCACTTTTTGGACTCTCCCAAGACTACTTGGCAGTGGTTTATTGTACCCCTGGCTCCTAGAATCAACAATAGACCACTTTCAAGCACGTATTGGAACTGCTGGAAGATGTGCTTGCTGATTTCTTATCTGAGAGTTGGTCCTTGTTAGTGACAAGGGATTGGTTTGTGAGTGATCAGCTCCTTTGGATATTTTGGTAACCCGTTGTGAGTGTGTGTGTGTGCGTGAAGTGATGGTTGTCTATATTTAAAATGCACCTAAAATTGTATTTTCAAAAGGAAGGGAAATGCAAAAGCTTTTAGGCATGGCTTAATTTTAAGTGCTTTAATAGATTATCTGGTCCAGCTCTATGCCTCTAGAAATAGACTGCTTAGGCCCCCAAGACCCAGGACATCAAGCTTAAGTGGAAATCTCTGGACATGTGACAAGGCAGATGTTCAGTGCTTACTAGACTTATCCAGTTATCCATTATTTATTCCACCAACATTATAAGCAGGTACTCAACTAGAATTAGGGGAATCAAAGATGAATACGAGAAGATACTTGCCTTTGAGGAGATCACAGTTTGGTTCAGGAAACATATGCACACAAACAATGTGACGGGGCTGTCAGAAAGGCAAAAAGGTCCTTATTATCAAAGGACAATTGGTACCAAGAAAAGACCACTTAAAATAAATCCATTTAAAGTGCAGACCAACTTTTCAAAGAAAATTGGGAAAGTAAGGTTTGTTTGAGAATTATTCTCGAAAAATAAAACTAAAAATATGAAAGAAATTTTCATTTATGAACAATGTTTATATTATTATTTGATTTTATTTGTATTGTAACTCTTAGAACAAACAAAGAATCAAAATGGCCTTTTTGGTGAAGAGTGACATTGCAGCACAAGAGTAACATCATATAGGGGATTATTTTGCAGAAATATTCAAGAACTTCAATTTTTCTGAGAACCTATACCAACTTTTGATATTAAAATAATTTTATTTTGCATTCCTATATTACTTCATCTTTATTGATTTTATCTGCTTCAATTGCTAACGCATTTAAACATTCTAGGTCCTCACTTGTCAACAGTTTTCCATGTGATTCCAGAAGTTCTTCAAAAGGACTTTAATCACCTTTGTAAAATCCAACATAATTTGCAAGATTTGCAATTTCACTTTGCAATTCAAAAGACATCAGTACCAGAGGGAGGATAGAGTTTAGTGTGAAGTTGGTAGGATGTCCTGGTGGTGATAGCCTTAGAAACTTTCTAGGGCAGTTCTACTCCGTCACATGGGGTCGCTATGAGTGGAATTGACTTAAGAGCACACAACAACAACAACAAACCTTAATGAACATGGAACCCTGGTGGTACAATGAATGGTTAAGTGCCTAGTTTCTAACTGAAAGGTTGGCGGGTTTTGAACCCACCTGGTGGCTCCTAGGAGAAAGACCTGGCAATCATCTTCCTGAAAAATTACAACCTAGGGCCGAAGATTAGACAGGCCTATAAAACAAACAACACATGTAGTTCTGTTCAATAAAAAACTAATTTGCTCTGTAAACTTTCACCTAAAGCACAACAAAAAATAAAAAATTATAACCTAGGAAACCCTATGGAGCAATTCTACTCTGTAGAACCGACTTGACAGCACTTAACAACAACAGTCTTATCGATGGTCTGTTGATCAGTAAATATTTTCACCTTTTGATGCCTATGTAACCCTGGTGGCATGGTGGTTAAGAGCTCAGCTGCTAACAAGAAGGTTGGCAGTTCAAATCCACCAGCTGCTCTTTGGAAACCCTATGGGGCAATTCTACTCTGTCCTATAGTGTCGCTATGAGTCTGAGTTGACTCAACAGCAACAGCTTCTTCCATGATGACTATGATTCCTCTCACACTCTTAGTTATAGGGACTTGGAAAATTAATATTTAGATAATAATAATCACCCCTTTCCCCAGCAATCTATCAAGAGCTCAGGTGACAAAGAGACTGGGAAGATGCTGGGAAAAAAAAAATTAAGTTTTTTTTTTAACAGTTTAATTAGACAAGAGATGGTTGTATTCCCATGACTGATTACATGGTAAATCTCTTCATCAGTATAACTTAGCCAATGATGTGATAAGTATTAGTTACAACAACACTACTGATTATTAAACTTGCTTGAGATCATTGGAGTTATGTTTCTTTCACTTACAACTGAGTATGTCTCTGAGGTTTTCTAATTCCAAATTCAGTAAGTACTCTTTCCAACATACGATTGGCTCTCAACTACTCACGAATACCAGAAGATGCTATTTTTTTTTTTTTTTTTG